CTAAGACAAGCCGACTTGGTTCAAGTTGCCATGAGCCAGTGGGCTGATGAGCCAGTCGGGCAGCTGACCAAGCTCGTGGCTAGTCCATTGTAGACAAGCAGGGTTTAGTCACCTAACTAACGATTAACGACGAACTAACGACCAATTAACGCTAGTTACCTAAAGTAACCGTTAATCTGGGTGAAAATGAGCTAGAAATGAGTCTACTGCTCCTTACTGCTGTGAATTTAAACTAAAAAGGTAAGTCGAGGTCGAAATGACCTCGAACTATGGTTTTTGTAGGACTTACATCCAACCAGCGCGGCAAATATTGCTCTGGTTTGTTCCGAACATCTGATGTTCGGAAAAGTGGGGACGGTCCCGAACATGTTTGGTGTTTGGGAATTGTCCCCATAAACTGTTCGAACCCCGAACATGTTCGGGCGAACCTTATTTCCAAAAACGAACGTTCGAACATGTTTGAAACGAACATGTTCGACCTGAACCTGTTTGAGGTTTGGAAAAGTGCTCATAATCCCCTTCTGAAGGTCAACCTGTTCAAACGCCCACTCAGTTGTCAGCTGAAAAAGATCCGCACCTGTGAATTTGTGAGCATAAACAATTGTCTAACCAGCCCTAGTATCACTTTTGAGCGCACACATTCCCTCCAGAGCTATGGAATCCTGCCTCTGACTCCCCAATATGAGAGTGAGTATTCCCTCTTCGAATAGCTGCTGCAACCATAAATTTGCCTGCATACTGTTGCTTCACTATCGCTGTAAGCTTCACTGTTGCTTTGGTGTGCTTGTGTAACATTCAGAACAGTGCCTCTTATGGTATTTCTTGTTGTCCATTCTTCTGATGTCTGCTCTTTACAAAAATGTGTTACAAAGCTCAGATTGAAGTATAGAAAACATGTGTGTGCTCACAGTTGGAGGCAACTGAATAGAACGTGTACCTCAAGTGACATTCAATTCTGGGCGTAACATCTTCCACTTCGAACACCACCTATTAGAGTGTGTGTGTAAGCTGTGGTGTTTAAGTGTTCAACTCTCACGGTCTGTTTTGACTCCATTTCCACTTTCCTCTCCCCCCAACCACTTGTTGTATCCCTTTTATTCCTTGGATGGAACTCTGTGCGTGTGTACATCTTCAGGTCTCTATGGAATAACAAACTGAATGGGTCTATTCCATCCACCATCGGCAGCATGAGCAACCTTGCACACCTGTCAGTATCAATCTTGTGATGTCTGTTCCTTACAAAAATGTGGTAGAAAGTCGAACTTGAAGTGTAGGAAACATGTTCGTGCTCACGATTGGAGGCACGTATTGGGATAGGTACTTGAAATTCGAGCGCAACAACTTCCATTTCCAACACCTCCTGTTAGCGTGTTTGTAAGCTATTATAAGTACGAGTTAAACACTCATTTTGTTTCCACTTCCCTCTCCTACCAACTACTGACTCTCTATCTCTCTCTCTCTCTCTCTCTCTCTCTCTCTCTCTCTCTCTCTCTCTCTCTCTCTCTCTCTCTCTCTCTCTCTCTCTCTCTCTATCTCTCTCTCTCTCTCTCTCTCTCTCTCTCTCTCTCTATCTCTCTCTCTCTCTCTCTCTCTCTCTCTCTCTCTCTCTCTCTCTCTCTCTCTCTCTCTCTCTCTCTCTCTCTCTCTCTCTCTCTCTCTCTCTCTCTCTCTCTCTCTCGTTCATGGCCCCCTTTGGTTGTATGTACCATCAGGGGTCTAGATAATAACAGTTTCAGTGGTTTGATTCCATCCACCATCGGCAACATGTACAGCCTTATATACCTGTCAGTATCCAAGGAGTTTGATTGATATTTCTAATTTGCATGGCTAATCATTCCTGCAACTACAGAATTCGGGCTTCGCTAAGCAGGTATACGCCCACATGACTGAACCACTTTGCACTTTGGAACTCAAGGCCGGGAAAGGAGGCGGTGCATGGCAGTGACCAACATTGGCAGAACAGCTGCGAGGAAGATCTCTCCCACCCGCGGTGACGCCCCACTTCCTTCCGTGTCCAACCCACTTCGATAAATGCCTGCGCATACGTCTACCCCTTCGGCACAGACGCTCGACTCTGCTGAAGACTAACAACTCGTTCTCTTCGTGCCATGACTGCTACATCACCTCCTCTTAACCTGAAAAGCAGACTGGGCAAGCAAAAGGCAGCTAAATTTTTTCCCAACATCCATCCAGAGAGCGACACATTCTGCCACATCTAGCAGAGCCACCAACCTGTAAACTGAAACTTCAGTGCATGTGGTTCTGGTTAATTTGACACCCCTGTATTGTATGATAACTAAGTGTGGTGCTGTACAGTAGGGTTGAGCAAGGGGGCGGGCTGGGCCCTGCCGGGTCGGCCCTGCCCCAAAACTGCCCCGGGCCAAACCTCTGAGTTGGGCTGTTGGCCCGGGGCAGGCCGGCCAGTCCTGGTCCGCCGGGCCATCGGCGGCCCGATTTTGGCTAGGCATAAGCGAAAGGCCCCGACCCAACCCAGGGTTTTGGCGGGTCGGCTCAGGACTTCCAATCCTGGCTCAGCCGGGGCGAGTCTGTCCGGCCTGGGCAAAAACCCGTCCCGATGTTGAATTTCAGGTCGGGTCGGGTCGGGTCTGTCCGGCCTGGGCAAAAACCCGTCCCGATGTTGAATTTCAGGTCGGGTCGGGCAGGTCGGGTCGGGTCGGGCCGATTTTGAACCGAGACCCGGAATTGGGTCAAAAACAGGGCAACCGGGTCGGGGTGTGACCCGACCCGATTTGGCCACTTGGAAAATCCCTAAAGTCGATGTCGAGGGGACATTTTTCCACTCAACAACAGTCCCGCAATCTAATTAACCATCAGCCCATAAATCCTAGTTTTTAGGCAAGTACTAGTCCACTTTGGCCAAAGGATGAATCTATAAAGTGTGGGAGTGGAGGGGCGTGGGATTTGTACATTCAGTGTGGTAAAAGGTGGTGAGCAGTGGCGAATTGGTTGGAAATTTTTGTTCCAACACATTTGTTCGAAACTTGTGCCTAGGCTGAGAAATTACAGGCAAAATCCCGAGGTTCACAGATATCGCAACGAATTCGTCAATTTGCGCAGATCGACGGGCAAAATCGCAGATCTGCGCAGAGTGCAGGCGAGAGCGGTTTCCTGACCCGAGCCGACCTCGGGTCGGCCCGACCCGATGTCGGGCCAGGAAAGACCCGGCCCTGTACCCCCGGGTCAGGTCAGGGTATTCAACATCCTGGCCCGGGGTTGGCCCGACCCGACCCGACCCGGAAACCTGCTTGGCCAGGCCAAATCGGGTCGGGTCGGGCCGGATGCCTATTTTTGTCCCGCCCGTTTAGGGGCAGACCGGGCCGGCCCATCTCGAGGTGCGGCTCGGGTCGGGCCGTTTTGGCCCGCTTTAGACCCAAGCTCCGCTTTCATTAAGGCCCATCAGAGCGTATGGTAGGAAGTATATGAGAACCATATTGGTTTCAAAATTAACGAGAGCAAGAGCTGAAACTAGGCCAGTATGGCTTATGCCTACATGGCTAGACATTATCGAGATGGAAATGAGAGGGTTTGTGCTGCGCATTATTCTCACTTTGATAGCCATGGCTCGTTTGTTTGAGTTAACCAAGCTTGGTATGCCACAATCCTAGGAAGCCTCATGGTGAAAGGACCAGTTTGTCGCTATCAGCATTTGCCATCATAAGAAATGTGTTCAGGGAAGGCATGAAAGACTAGGCACGAGCATAGGTCTAAGACAAGCCGACTTGGTTCAAGTTGCCATGAGCCGGTGGGCTAATGAGCCAGTCCGCCAGCTGACCAAGCTCGTGGCTCGTCCATTGTAGACAATCAGACATTGCTTACACGGTTTTGGTATTTTGCTGCTTCGGGTTAAACTTGCATTTCAGCTTTGTATTTGCTTTTCGAGTTTCTCATCTGGGCAGGAACGGGTCTTGGCTCGTCGAGATCGATTTGATTCCAGTCAGTTGATACTCGGATTGCTGTCTTGTCTTGACCCAATTGTCATCTTGGACCCGCGTTTCAATAGATGGTGGAAATACAGGAATGAGCTTGTCAATCCAAAGATCGTATGTATGTCACAAGACTCAAGAGTCATGATTCTTGTGTCACATAATTCTTGAGTCATGACTCAAGAGTCATATGTATCCCACCAGACAACAACATGATTTGTCATGATATGGGAACCAGCCCGGATATCAAGCATATTCTTGCCCAGTTCGCGCCAGCCAGGTTCGACCAGCTTGTGGCCGGTTGGTGGCCTGTTGGTGAACGAATAAGTTTAACAAGCCGGCAAGCCGGGTCTTGCTCAATAACTCGGGGATCCCGACAGGCAGGATTGCTGGCTCGGTTTGACTCAACTGTCAGCTCAGACCTTTACTTGTCGTTGAGCGCAAAATTGAGCTCCCAGTTGACAAATTGCGGGATAATATGTGTCGGGTGTGTCTCCGAATATGCACGATTGTACATATACAGAGCCAGGTTTGTTGCGGTGTAGTTATGGGTGTAGCAATTACTAAGTATGCACTGTTGGGGTGTAGGTAGTTGGGGACAGGGAGAATGCCGCGAAGTTGTTAGGAGAGCAGCGAGGGAGAAATCCAAGGAACCAATGTGGACAAACCATCCCAGGCTCGAGGCGCACATTGAGAAATGTACGGTTGGAGCCTGGGCTAGGTAAATTCACTGAACCACACACCCTCACTGATTTTCTCTTGTTATCCTTTCGTATAGTGGAACATTGTTTCCTCAAGCCTTGCAACTAGGTGACACACCACTCAGGGAGGACCCTTGGGGTGAGTGCTTAATTGCTTTCAATAAGAGTGGCTAAGACAGCACAAGGACAGACAAGAAGAGGAGACACAGTTGAAGGAGCAGATGGCAGGCAGAGCTGATTTACGGCATTCAATCATATGCAGCCATACTCATGTGTCCATACATTGAGGTATTGTTTTCTTGCTGTATTCTATGTTCCTGTGTGCCCATACACCCTTTATATGTTGTATCATCAGGTCTCTTTCCAACAATACTCTGAGTGGGTCTATTCCATCCACCATTGGTAGCCTGAGGAACCTCGTGTCATTGTGAGTATCGTGAAGGGAATAGGAAAGTGAGCCAACACGACGTCGCACATGTTCAGAAATTAGAGGGCCTGCGAAGGCGACACCAAGTCAACTTGATTTGAGAGCGAGCACACATGCTAGGCATGACCACGGGCGCGCTGGGTCGAGCTAGCCCGCTAACCCAAGGCCTGGGGGGGCGGCCTATGGTAGGCTGGTTCTACAACAAGTTTGCCAGAGATCTGCAGCAAGACGACTAGCTGGTGGGCTCAGACCATGATACAACTAGTCATTTTACATGAATTTATGGAAGCAAGCTGACCCAACAGGCCGGGCAAGTAAATGCCAGGCTGAGATCGACAAGCGGTACATGCAAAAAGGGCAGTCCGGAACGTGTTCCACACAGGCTGGCCCAACCACGCGGTCCCACGCCATTCATTTTGAACTACATGACTAGAGGGTCCAAGCTCGGCCATATGGGCATTTGGAGCTGTTAGAAATGACTCACAAATGCAAGGCTCCTACAAATAGTGGGTTTGAGCGTAGGCCTATAACCAGCTTAGTCGTTTCGATGCACAATGAGCTGATTTGCCGACGAGATGAGTGGGCAGCTAATTGGGCCTGTGGCTCGTCTATGAGACGCAAACCAATCAAGCCAGAACGAGCTTGTGTGTCTCGCCACAATCTGTCAAATGCGCATAAAGATGACCAGTTTGCTGCCAGATGTATGTGGATCTTGCTCTTTACCGCCACCGTCACATAAAATAGAAAAGTTTTCATCGCCTTCTCCATTTGTAGCGCTCCTTCCAGTGGCTGTGAGGTAGGAACGAGCAAGAATATCCTTTTGAATACAGTGACTGCAGACCATATGTGCTCCTACTCGAATTCAATGCTAATCACCAGTGCCAGCTCACGTGTCAGGTGGGGGGGCCCAAGCCTGTCATATGGGTCGCCTCCACCAAAGTTTCCCCCAACCCCACAGCAGCAGGGTTGCAGCCATCCCCCCAACATAATGCAACGGCAGCAGAAACTCCGCCAGCACACGCACCTTGAAACGCAAGTAGAATGCGCCCCCAACAGACCTTTTGCTGCACAAGCATGGAAGAGCTCATGAGGAACTTGCTGGCCTCCTCCTGAGCCTGCGATAGCCACAAGCTCCATCCTCTCCGACACAGCTTCAGCCTGCTCGTCCACAAGGAGGCTGACATGGCACCAGTGGCGGTGGCTGTGTCCTAGGAGAAATTTTGGACAGGGGAAAGCTCACTCAGGAGAGACAGTTGAGTCTGGGACCGAGGGAGGTAGCAGCAGTGGGTCGGAGTGTGCTTATCTGTGGTAGGGAAAATGGAAGCCCATTGCCGTGGTGCATGACTCGTGATGGTCCCATACGAAGCTTTGTGTGAGGAGGGAGCATCTGCACCAGCACAAATTTGACTTGAGATCCATTGGGGGTGGAAGTCGTGGGGAGATTTCAGCGATTCCCTCGCTGCGCCGATGTCTCCATCACCAGGGAAATCTTTGCCAAGGCTGGATTTGCTGCAGAGATTTTGCAGCTGCAGCATCGGCCGGCAAGTGTGGCAGACCTACGCTTCGCGTGCTGCCAGACACACCTTTTCTCAGCACTGTGATGACAACCGAGCAGGGGGATGACGGCTGCTGAGAAAAGGAGGACTTCAGGCTTTGCTAACCAAGTACAATTTTGCCCACATGGCTGAAGCATTGTGCACTTTCGCCCTGGCTGGGGAGGGACGGTGCACGGTGGTGTGGTGACCAGCATTGGCACAGCAGATACGAGGGAATTTTTTCTCGCTCATGTGATGTGTCACCAGTCCTGGCCGCAAATCAGAGTGGTCACCTCTGCACAATAGCCTCGCGACAAGGCCTTGCAATGTTCAAATAAGGTACGGGCAAGAGAGATTCTGAATCTTCCAAATGTGGTCAGGAGATTCAGCGTGAAATTCTCTGGAACTGAAGTGGTGGGGAGATTCCGGCACCATTCCCGCTATGCACCAATGTCCCCATCACCAGGAATATATTCTCCAAGGCTGGCTTTGCTGTAGTGGCAGCGAATACCGCAGAGTTTGCAGCTGCATTAACGGGTCGGCCTGATTGGCAGTCCTAGACCCACATTTTCACAGTGCTGTATGACAGTCGAGCAGGGGAGGACTGCCGGTGACACTGGGAGGATTTCCTCTATCCCGACAGAGATCTCCATGTCTCTAACATTAGCGGATCAGGAGAACTCTCCTGGCAGCCTCGTTATGTCAGCTGTCCAGCCTGCCACTCACTTGGTAACCTCGTGGGTACCAGGTTCTTCCGCGGCCGATATCTCCACATTAGCCTCGAAATATGATCCTGCAACATTCAGGCGACAGGTTACATGTTCGAGGATGATTATTCCATGCATGGGAGGATGACGAAAGTGGGAATTTTTGAAATCAAGCTGGCAGTGAGCATCGTGCCTGCCAAATCCGTGTGGACACGGCTTAACATGCTTGGCATGGCAGACACATTACATGACCTCCTTGCAACAAGTCAGCCATGGCCAGATAGGTAGGAGGGTTGGCCTTGGTTCTGCCCTAGACTCCTATTTGATGCACCTGGGCTGGCTGTTGCCTGACCGCTAAGCTTATGTCTCCTTCCCGCACAATCATGTTCCTCCAACGTTACTAGTGCTACCCTTGACAGGAAGTATGGGAGAACCGTATCGGTTTTCAAACTACCGGAATGGGGTCGGGAGGGTCTGGATTGGATAATATCCTTGCCTTGTTAGCTATGTCCCGTCCACTTGAGTTGGGCCGAGCTTGGTATGGTTTTTCTTGAAGCTACTCCTCTTAAAGCTAGAGTTGGCGACGACAATCTTCCAAAGCTCACGCTTGAGACCGCAACTTTTTGCGGTATGTTGCGGAGATAACTTTAGCAACGGGAGCTAGACTACGGGCTAGGCACGGGTGCTCGTGTGATCTCTGCGTTCGTTGGTCCTGAGTCGGTTTCCTAGTGCACACACTGCTTGCTAGTTCACAAGGCAATTTGGCAAGAGTTTCACTAGAGAAAGTTGACAACAATGGTACAATGAAGTTGGCTAGGCAAGACTACATCAGAGCTAGGATGCAAGCAGGTCGACTGCCAGCGCAGCACGGTCGACCGCGTGCCAGCACGACTTGGTCGACCGCGCTCTAGCAGTGCAGAGACGCGGCTTGCCAACGCTGCAGGTCGACGGCGTGACAACAGCGCAAGTCGACGGCGTGCCAGCGTTGCTCCTGCAGTCCAGCATCGCACCAGCTTCGCAGGTGCTCGTAGGTGATTGGCGTGCGCTGCTTCGTCACCTGCACGACGTACGCACCAAGTCCACCTTGTGCTGACGACTGCATCTCATCTGCCAGGTCGACCTCGGGATACCACCACCGAGGTCGTCCTCGCCAACCTCGCCTGGGCGACCTTCGCGTGCCTTCGCAGACCCTCGTCACCCAGGTAACCTGGTCGACCGGGCAACCACGTCGACCAGCTGCTCCGGTGCGAGCCCGTCGACCTCCCAAGTCGACGACCACTCCAAGTCGACCTCACCAGGTCGACCACTGCCTCCGGTATGTGCCGGTCGACCTCCCAAGTCGACGGCCACCTCCCGTCGACCTCCCCAGGTCGACCACTACTCCCTGGTCGACCAGCTCTAGGTCGACGTCACTCCTGGTCGACCAGAAGGCCTGGTCGACTTCCCAGGTCGACCAGAAGGTCTGGTCGACTTCCCAGGTCGACCAGAAGGGCTGGTCGACTTCCCAGGTCGACCAGCCAAAGTTGGCGCCCTCCTGAAGTCGGCGCCCATGCAGTGGCTCCCCGTGCAGGTCGACCAACCTCGTCGACCAACTCGCCCACTGCTGCAGGTCGGCTGCACCCTACACCCGACCACGAAATCGGCTCCGCCCAAGCGAGGACGGGGCCAACATCCAACTCCCGTTGACATATGTGAGGGGACTAAAATCCAAACCAAACGCCGCGTAGTCACACATGACACGTGAGAGCCACGCGGCAGGCCATTGCTAGTCATCCAACTTCTTTCAAACCCACGAGACGGGTCTTGCCAACAACACACGAGTATGTGAGAAGGACGGATGCCATCACCAGTAGTGTACTCCCTGCGAGACATAAGCAGACATGCAAACTTGGTCTGGGCTGAAAAATTGGCTGGCCTGTCCGGATCCGGGAAGATTTGATATTTGTCGCCTTGCCAGAGGTCAAACTGCATTGGTATGCCTTGAATCGCAGCCCCACGCAAACCTTGTACAGCATGCTCAGGACCCCTGCGACCTTTTCTACAATCCGACAATAAAATTTTGTGGTAATATTGGGTGTAGATAAATAATCATGATGGCCACACATATCTCACAAGAAAATATGCGTCGCAATGTTGTTCTTGAACCGGTGCATTTGGGTTCGAAGGTGCCCTTGGACTGGCAAGAGAGTCAGCCACCATTCTCTCACTGGACCAATGCTAGCATAACCAGGGGGATCTTATATTCCTCCTTGGAGTAACTGCTGCAAGCATGATTTCGAGTGCTTATCCCTGACGCAAGCATCTCTGTTGGTAGTCACAACTAGAGATAAGCAAGGGGCGAACACAATCGTGTTCGTGTTCGCCCATGTACGAACACCCATGTTCGGCGAACCGAACACCCCTGACGCAATTATCTCCGTCTTCTCTATAGCTGTGTTGGTATTCACAACCTCAACTATGAAGAGATGCTAGGTTGTCAGGCCCACAAGCGGAGCCTCCAATTTGTTTTCTCATGTACATACATGGACAAACATTTTCAAGGGTTATGATGCTGTCCATTTTGCATTCACGGTCTAAATGTTAACACTTGGCCATCCCAGCTCAGCGTCTTGGGCACATTTGTCTATCTGGTGATCCACTTCAGCCTCTTGTCATCGATCTGCAGGCTATACTTTTCACCCCTGCTTCGGTGTACACATGTCTGCGTGCTTATGCAGCATACACAACAGCCCCTCTTATGGCATCTCTTGTTGTCCATTCTTGTGATGTCTGCTCCTTTTAAAAATGTGGTAGAAAGTCGAACTTCAAGTGTAGGAAACATGTTTGCGCTCACGCTTGAAGGCACGTATTGGGTTGGGATAGGTACTTGAATTTGAGCGTAACAACTTCCACCTTTAACACCTCCTTTTAGCATGTGCGTAAGCTATTATAAGTGCGAGTTTAACGTTCATGGCTTTTACACATTCTGTTTCCACTTCCCTCTCCTACTAGCTACTGACTCTATCTCTCTCTTTCCTGGCCCCCTTTGGTTGTATGTAACATCAGGAATCTATCAAGTAACAGTTTCAGTGGTTCGATTCCATCCACCATCGGCAACATGATCAGCCTTGAACGCCTGTCAGTATCCAAGGAATTTAATTAATATTTCTCATTTGCATGGCTAATCATTCCTGCAAGTACAGATTAAGCTGGATTTGGGCTTCGCTAAGCAGGTATACTTTGGCCCACATGACTGAACCACATTGCACTTTGGAACTCAAGGCCGAGACGGGAGACGGTGCATGGCGGTGACCAACATTGGCAGAACAGTTGCGAGGGATATCTCTCCCGCCAGTGGTGACGCATCACCAGTCCAGCCTGCCACTCACAGTGGTTTCTCCCTGTGTACCAGAGTCTGCCCCCGATCTCTGCACATTATCCTCACAATAAAGTCCTGCAATGTTCAACCCTATGGTACATGTGCTAGGGAGATTCTGTTTTTTTTTCATACGTGAGCACGATATTAAGAGTGATGTTCCTTGAAAACAAGCCAGCAGTGAAGGGCAACGACCCACGGCCATGAGGTATAGCTACCAGTAGTTCGTCATACCAAATCCAACCATTCTCAAGCTGCCCTCATATTTGGTCAACCCTAAGGGAGCCTTTTTTTTTCAAAACAGGAATCCTCTTATCAAACCTCAGCTAGCCTTTTCCGTTAAACAAAAAGAAAAACAAAACAAAACAAAACAAAAAGTTCTGCACGATCGGGCACAATCAGCCAGTTTGCAAGCCCGTTTGCAACAGAGGCTGGACCAACCTTGCATGCCCTAGTTCAGCCATATGAACATGGCTAATGCACTCATGACGCCCTTGCCTGGGAGTGTGCTTATGTTCCATTCACCCTCAGTCATGGCAGAAATCTAGTGTGTCACATCCAGGTTGTTTCAGTCCACAATGAGCTGACTCGCAGACCAGCCAAGTGGGCAGCTGATTTGGCCTGCGTGACATGCGTGAGCCGGGACAAGCAGGCGTGGCTCATCGCAGTCTGTTGGATCAGATGCGAGAGAGATCTCTCCCCCTCGCCCATGCTGACGTGGGGAGAGAGCTTTCCTCTGTAATGGGGAATGACATAGCACTCACTAGTGGTGCAAATTACCAAAGACACGGACAAAGATGGTGTTAGCAGGGCATCGCTTACAATCTGGGAGCCAGTACGCATGACAAATGCCACCGCCATTTACGTGGCCAAGCCCCCGTGAGGAACCTTGCCATCTACTTCTCTGCCAACATGATCAAGCGAGTGAATACCTTGGATCTGTGGTGTGAACACATGGCTGGGTAGGGAGATGTGCACAGCACGAGCATGATGATGACCAGCAGTGGCTGGCCAGGTACGATGGAGATTTCTCTCACCTGAATTGTATGTACAATAATGTCTAAGCTGTCCCTCACAATTGGTCAATCCCAATTGTGAGCTCACCTTCCTCTCAAGGAACGTCTTGACCCCAACGCTAACAGCTGACAACCTTTCCTTCTCAAGGTTGATCTGTTGGAACGCCCTCTTGAGCGTCTTTTGCCACATAGGTCAAAAGAACGCCATTTGTTTCTCACAAGGTGCTGTATAATACTATCGGAAATTTGAGATTGTGATTTTCCACCTTGGACGGCTTAGTCGGATCTAAACTTGTCATTGAACTCAATGTTGAGCTCCACATATTGAGAGATCATATGTGCTGGGCATGCTCAGATATCATGTGCCCTTTGTCCGACAACACGGGGTTTGTCATGGTCCATGGGTTTGAAGCAGCCCGGTTTGCCATCAGAAATAAGGAGTGTGTTGGCTGGGTAAATTGTGTTTATTATATTTCATTTTCATTGCAGTGATGTCAGTTGGAACAATCTCACTGGCCAGCTCCCTCCAACATTGGGCAATATTCCTCTTCTTTTGTACCTGTAAGGCATCTTAGCATATAAAATGTTGCAATTTCTATCATAGCAACCTTGAAGCGTTTCGCAAAAGCCACCTTTTTGGCTAGATTTTCCAGTGTCAGGCACAGTAACAAGCACAGCTTAGCTACTCCTCATTATGTGCTTCTTTCGCAAAGAGGAGGTATCCCATGGTGTACCAAAGGCCAGATTTTGTTGCAGGTGCAGCCACAGGTATTCTAAGTAGCTGGGGCGGACTTGGGCTGGTCCAACCCAATTCTCTTTAGCCGGACAGCGATCGAATCTTTCTGGTGCACATCACTTCATTTGCTATAGCTGGCACAGATTTATCATGTATGTTGACTCAAAATCACCTGTACAAAATCTTGGCTTAGTATAGTATTGCGGTATGCTACCGTACTTCAGCAACCTCAGAGAGTTTCACTCAAATCAGAAGCCCGTTGGTGAGTGATGATTTGAGAACGCTCCATGTTGACATGCAGGGATATAAATTCAACGGCAATCACATGCCCTCCTGACTACGGCAGCTGCGTCGTCCTACAGACCAGTGTTAGTGCTTTCTGCACTCAGTGTCCCTCCTTCTGCACCACGTGTGACAATCCTCCACCAGGTAAGACGCTCCTTATGCAGGTATCTGCTTTTTTTTGTACTTTGCTCTCATCAGTGCTAAGTGGGTAAACAGTGCATTGCCACCTACTTGGCTAGATTTTCCAGTGTCAGGCACCGTAACAAGCACAGCTTAGGGCGCGTGTCTTTTGGGTTTTATAAGCAAAACTCGGTTTTTGGGTTGAACTGTAGGCATTTGAACCTAGGTCGACCTAGGCTCGAGTTTATCCACATCTGCAAACCGAGTCGCGTCTCCCACACTCTCGAGAATCACAGGACACCAAAAAGTTCATCTTTCGAAGTTGAACTTTTACAGCCCCCCCGAGCCGGGACCTACTTTCGTAGGTTACCCCATTTGGGCTCTTGACATCGCGCCACGTATTACACCCACCTACTCTCGTTGCTAGTGCGCACGATGCTAGCCGCGAACGTCGCAGACTTCGCATAGTCGTTGGCAGTGGTCAGTTGGACACGCGCTTGCATTTTCGTGCCAGCATGTTTGTTGATGAGAGTTCAACCTCGGATTCGTCCTTTGATCAGCCCCGATAGTGTACATGGACACACGACGTCCACGCGAAAAATTTGGTGAAATTTGCGAAAAGGGTAACCAGCAGAAGGTTAACCGAAAAGCCGAACGTCTACACCAAAAGACACGCGCCCTTAGCTACTCCTCTTTATGTGCTTCTTTTGCAAGCCTCCTCGTGAATGTTACTGAACAGTACCTGTTCCAACCCTTCAATGCATTCCTTTGCTTCCTCTCTCCATGCAAATTGTTCGTAATTCCACATCCACTTTCACCAAGCCCACCATCATCCCCAAGTTTGATTGCCTTTTCCATCCCCAATCTCTGTCTTTCTACCCCATGACTGTACTGTACCCTCTCCATCGCCAATGCTGAAACCATCCCCATCACCAACACCCTCCCCATCGCCAGTGCCAACACCCTCCCCGTCGCCAGTGCCAACACCCTCCCCATCGCCAGTGCCAACACCCTCCCCATCGCCAGTGCCAACACCCTCCCCATCGCCAGTGCCAACACCCTCCCCATCGCCAGTGCCAACACCATCGCCATCGCCACTGCCAAAGCCCTCCCCATCGCCAGTGCCAAAGCCCTCCCCATCGCCAGTGCCAACACCCTCCCCATCGCCAGTGCCAACACCCTCCCCATCGCCAGTGCCAACACCCTCCCCATCGCCAGTGCCAACACCCTCCCCATCGCCAGTGCCAAAGCCCTCCCCATCGCCAGTGCCAACACCCTCCCCATCGCCAGTGCCAAAGCCCTCCCCATCGCCAGCGCCAACACCCTCCTTATCACCAGAGCTAACACCCTTTCCACCTCCTCCCACGTCCATTCCTAGTGAGCCCACAGCCTCTCTCTCCCCGTCTGGAGGCGGATTATCCAGCGGAGCCATTGCTGGCATTGCTGCTGCTGGCGCTATGGCTGTCCTCGTAATACTGCTGCTGAGCTGGCTGCTGTGCACACGATGCCACACCAAAGGGGCAGCAGGAGGAGGCGATACTGGCACTGATATGGATGGCAAGAAATCAGCAAATACTAATTCTTTTCAAGGTGAGATATTTCAGTAGACGCCTAGCCTAGATGAAGCAATCACAACGCAAGCAATCAAAATAAAAGCTGGGTACCATCAAAGCCTAAAGATCACTAACACATTCAACTATAAATGCAAATCCATGGGTTCTTTCTCACCACAGTCCAGCCCAGGTTCTTGCAGATTTCAGGTAGTCCTTTTGGTTCGGACTGACTTATGAGTTTTGGGTTGGAACCTCAGAATTGCCGGCCCGGATCTTATGTTTCGGGTGCAACGCGTTATCTCATACTTGCTGGTGCCCCACAGAAGTATCTGTGATGACACTGCTTTTGCCTGCAGTTTTATGTGAAATAGGCATGAGGAAACCACATCACCAAGTCTGTCTGCTATTGCTTCTCAGTCGAACACGACTGGTTCAAGGCCAGAGCGAAATGGTCTGAGTCAAACTGGGTAGGGAAATGTAGGTTCTGGGTCGAACTGGGCAGGTTCAATTCAAGGGGGGAAGACGAAAATTGCGGCTATGGTTTTGGGTCAGGGTCCATTGCCGTGACATCGAACAGCCACACGACTATGGAGTCGAGTCGAGATGGTGATGTAAGGTTCGGTGAGTTTGTTCACCACGGATGTTACTGAAATCATCTTCTTGCAGACAATTCATCTAGCCTTCACCTCGACTTGCCAGGATTCATCGAATGACGCCATCGTGCTAGCTGGTCCTCCCAAGGCCATCAGCAAACCAGAGTAGGTTGTTGGGGATCCCAGGTCCTTTCTTTTCTTTCAAAGTAGCTACTTGACCTTCTCTTTCTCTTCAACCGACTCTTACATGTCTTTGCAGGACCAAATTATGAGGATGTGGATGAGAATTCAGCAGCAGCAGGAGGGGAAGCCGAAGCAGCTGCAGCAGCAGCTGCAGCAGTGCTACCACTAGTAGCAGCACAAAGGAGGCAGGATGATGTTGTTGTGTTGGAGATGGATGCAGCACGGCCATACGTGTGTCAAGAGTATTCCCTAACAGAGCTGGCCAAGGCCACAGGAGAGTGGGCAGAGGGGAACAGGATAGGAAGTGGCAGCTTTGGGGATGTCTACAAGGGTGTGTCGCCCCACGATTGCAATCAAGCCTGGGCAGTCAAACGAGCTCGAGTGCTCACAAATGACTTCCAGAGAGAGGTATAATGGTGTGCGTTTTTGTTGATATGTTATTGCCACATTTCGCGTTAGTTTATTCTGACAAAACAAGCATAGTTGGTGGTCCAATGATTCAATCTCCTTTGATCTGTTAACTGTTCTCCCTCTCAGGTGAAACAGATGGCAAGCAAGCATCATCCGCATCTCGTGCGGTTGTTGGGCTATTGTATCGACCTCGACCTCTCCACACGTCTCATGGAGCAGATCCTCGTTTACGAGTTCATGCCCAACCACGACCTTGAGAGCTGGATCGGCCCTGGTGTCTCCCACCCTCTTTCGCTTCGTCAACGGCTTGACATTATGATTGGAGTGGCAAAGGGGTTGCAGTATCTCCATGACTTCGGCATTGTGCATCGCGACATCAAGCCAGCCAACATTCTTCTTGATGGAAAAATGCAGGCATGTCAATGTAGTTCTAAGCTTGGCTGTACATGGTGACAAAAAAAGCCTACTCTCTTATCCATCCATTTGCAACTATCAACTAGTGTTTTCAAATCGCCTAGCATTCTCCTCATCGTGCACATCAGTGCTGTCATGGGCAGGCCAAGATTGCAGACTTTGGGCTCGTGAAGCTTGGTGGAGGCACCACTATGGGAATGTCTGTGGTTGCCACTCGAGTGATGGGAACACCGGGCTATGTGGACCCTGCCTATTTCAAGTCTCATAAGGCCACTCCAGCAGCGGATGTGCACAGGTGAGCAGATTGGTGCAGGTGAGCGAATTGGCGCTGGAGAGCATATTAGGTCAGGCTAACCAATCGGTGCAGGTTGGCATATTGGCATGAGAATACTGTGAAGGTCATCAGATGGGTACATTGGCATGAGAGTACCATTCGGGCAGGTTTCCAGAGTTGACAAGAAATTTTCATGAGTATCCGTTTCTTCTAGGGGGGTTAGAGCTTGGGTTTAGGCTTGCAACGATTTCTACGTGTCGTTTGCCTTACATTGAAGTCACTTCCAAGCATTCTTGCCAGTAAAGTAGCTTGGTGATGCTTGGTTACCTGAGGTAAGGGCTTGAAAAGGATTGACCATTGTACGTTTGTACGTTTGAGCATGATTTCAAATATGACGCCTTTGTTTATTGCTGGGTTGCAGTTTTGGCGTGGTGATGCTGGTGGTTATCACAGCGCGCAAGGCTGTGCATGTAACGGAGGACAACCAGATCAATCTCAAACATTGGGTGAGACACAGTGAACTTGAACTGTATCATAGCAAGGATGGCAGATCTTGCAACACAAGATTTGAAAAAGCCAGCTCTACTACAAAGTGAGCTTCTTGCTAATACCAATTTTCCAAGGTTTTCTTCTTGCCCTCAGCCAAACATATATAGGCCAATTCATGTTCTCTTTACATCCGTTCATGCTGCAATGAGTACGACCATGTTTATATATGTGATGTGATTCACCAACCTTTCATTCTGCTTTCTGTGTTTGTAGCATAAATTTCTTAAAAATATGCATCGTTCCATCCCTCCCTGCTTGTCATATTTCTACTTTTCTTCACAAAGTTCTCTGTTCATGTAAAAATGAACCTTTTTCATGACCAAATTCCATGGGGTATATGCATTCAATCTCACAGGTGGCCCCGTTGGTGGACTCCGGTGCTGTATTGGCGTTCAAGGACCCCTACTTGGACGCACCAGATGACTTGGTGCTGCGCTGGGCTCGCCTTGCCCTCTCCTGCACCGCCATGCCTGCGGCCTCCCGCCCCACCATGAATCAAGTGCTGGGGGAGCTGGTGAAGTTGAAGCAGGAGGCGTTTGGAGCTCATGAGAGCCATGTGGGCGAGGGCAAATCTCACATTGACATGGAGCTTGGGAGTTCCATTGGCTCCTCCAGCTTCACTGCTGAAATGGCCCGTGCGGAGCGCGAGGGCATGCCAAGTGGCTCTTCCACATAATCAAGTTTGTTTTCACATGCACCTTACTGGTTTACCTAAAGCTTTACGTACCAACGGATTGTGGCATATGAGAACATATATGGAGGAATATGGCCTGTGGATAGATGTTACAGAAGGGGTACTAGTAAAATCTTCTGCAATCAGACCGACGGAATGAGAAAATCGGGCTAAGTACGCAAAAGACAGCAACTGTATCTTTGGCTTGTTCATTGATAGTATCTTGTGCATCTATAAGATTTGCTACATTATAGGATATCTTCATTTATCATCAACATAAAATCTCTTAAATGGAAATGATCGGCCTTTTCTATGGCAGCAACAAACATCAGGCTCTTGAAATACTACACTATATGATATAGCAACTCTTTTTCCATCCCAGGAAACTAACCTGGAAAGCATCACATTCTCCTGCTATTCTGCGCATTCAGACATTATCCACTTCTGCTCAATGCCTTGTAAAGACGATGATGAGCAGTGCGCCAAGCACATATACTTCATGATCCCCGCCGCTGACTCATCAACCATGGCTGACTCATCGACCCCTGGCTGACTGACACTCATGGCTGACTGACTCACACATGGCTAACTGAACCATGGAGGACTGGCTGACCCAGGATTGACTGATTGACTCATTGCCTGACTGACCCATGGCTAACTGACTGAACCAGGCTGACTGACTGACCGATGGCTGAATGCCTGACCCGTATCTGACTGACTGACCCATGGCTGACTGACTGACCCATGGCTGACTGACTGACCCATGGCTGACTGACCGAACCATGGCTAACTGACTGACCCATGGCTGACTGACTGACCCATGGCTGACTGACTGACCCATGGCTGACTGACTGACCCATTTCTGACTGACTGACCCATTTCTGACTGACCGACCCATGGCATACTGACTGACCCATGGCTGACTGACTGACCCATGGCTGACTTACAGACCTACGGCTAACTGACTGACCTATGGCAAACTGACTGTCCCATGGCTAACTGACTAACCCGTGGCTGACTGCCTGACCCATGGCTGACTGACTGACCCATGGCTGACTGACTGACCCATGGCTGACTGACTGACTGACTGACTGACTGACTGACCCAAGGCCGACAGACTGACCCATGGCTTACTGACTGACTGACCCAAGGCTGACAGACTGACCCATGGATGACTGACTGATCCATGGCTGACTGACTGTCCCATGGCTGACTGACTGATTCATAGCTGACTGACAGATCTATGGCTACTGACTGACTGACCCATGGCTACTGACTGACTGACCAGTGGCTGACTGACCCATGGCTGACTGATTGGCCCATGGCTGACTGACTGACCCAAGGCTGACTGACTGACCCCATGGCTGACTGACTGACCCATGGCTGACTGACTGACCCATGGCTGACTGACTGACCCATGGCTGACTGACTGACCCATGGCTGACTGACTGACCCATGGCTGACTGACTGACTGACTGAACCATGGCTGACTGACTGACTGACTGACCCAAGGCTGACTGACTGACCCCATGGCTGACTGACTGACCCATGGCTGACTGACTGACCCATGGCTGACTGACTGAATGATCCATGGCTGATTTACTGGCCCATGGCTGACTGCCTGACCCATGGCTGACTGACTGACCCATGGCTGACTGACTGACCCATGGCTGACTGACTGACCCATGGCTGACTGACTGACTGACTGACTGACTGACTGACCCAAGGCTGACAGACTGACCCATGGATGACTGACTGACCCATGGCTGACTGACTGACCCATGGCTGACT